TTATTTGAAAGAACTCGTCAAGCTTCCATGAATGACAGCTAGTAGTCTCTTGATAATTTTAAAATTTAAAAGGAGGGTGCCAAAAAGCCATAGACCCTTTATGCTTATTAAGGTAGTATTTCTTAATACTGTACCCATATTTTTCAATAGGCTATTTAGCACCATTTACCTTGTCTCCCAGTCTCTTAAGGAGTATTCTCTGTTTGCAAATTTGAAACCAGTGGTCTCAGTATTTTCTAAGTGCAAATGATAGTACAGCATATCTTTCTTGCCTGTATTCTGGAAGTATAATTTGAGGGATTTCACATATTCCCAATAGTTTAGGTATTATAATTGATACAGGCAGTGAAAGCTCTCAGTATATTCTTTAGATCTGTAATTTACTTGCTAAATAGGTAGCTACTGTTAGCAATTCTCTAGTCTTGAGAGTACAATGGCCTTCAAAAGTATCATAAATGGGATGGCATCTCTTTGCTTTGAAGATTTTTATTATCCATCCTATCATTTTCCTAGCAGAGGCTGTAATGATATCTCTGTCCAAGGCATTATTACAACAACTCTTGAGAGCAAGAGCCTCGGACATAGTTACCCTCAGGTCCCAGGTCTTCCTAATCTGCTCATCTCGGACATAGTTACCCTCAGGTGCCAGGTCTTCCTAATCTGCTCATCTTTTTATTTCTTCTTTTTGTCACAGCTAAATAACTGAAATCTGTCCTTCTTAAACATAATGCTTTCTGGAAAACCTATTAACATCAGCTTCCTGTGTACTTAAAACATGTTATTCTCATATAATAATTAGTATTATCAGGAAAGGATGCTATGTATCTATGCCTGTGTCCAATCAGCCATAATTTGAAAAATTACCACATCAAACCAATCCTTCAGTACACTATGCACATTTTATGTTCCGGCAGTCATACACAAACTCTTAAAAACTCATTCCATTACCATTAGCATCTCCTTGGTTGCTTAATCCTTTCTAGACTGTCTTATTTTCTTCACCACATTTCTTATTTTTTTTTTTATTTTTTTATTATCACACTGGCCGATTCCCACCAAGGCAGGGTGGCCCGAAAAAGAAAAACTTTCACCATCATTCACTCCATCACTGTCTTGCCGGAAGGGTGCTTTACACTACAGTTTTTAAACTGCAACATTAACACCCCTCCTTCAGAGTGCAGGCACTGTACTTCCCATCTCCAGGACTCAAATCCGGCCTGCCGGTTTCCCTGAACCCCTTCATAAATGTTACTTTGCTCACACTCCAACAGCACGTCAAGTATTAAAAACCATTTGTCTCCATTCATTCCTATCAAACACGCTCACGCATGCCTGCTGGAAGTCCAAGCCCTCGCACACAAAACCTCCTTTACCCCTCCCTCCAACCTTTCCTAGGCCGCCCCCTACCCCGCCTTCCTTCCACTACAGACTGATACACTCTTGAAGTCATTCTGTTTCGCTCCATTCTCTCTACATGTCCAAACCACCTCAACAACCCTTCCTCAGCCCTCTGGACAACAGTTTTGGTAATCCCGCACCTCCTCCTAACTTCCAAACTACGAATTCTCTGCATTATATTCACACCACACATTGCCCTCAGACATGACATCTCCACTGCCTCCAGCCTTCTCCTCGCTGCAACATTCATCACCCATGCTTCACACCCATATAAGTGTTGGTAAAACTATACTCTCATACATTCCCCTCTTTGCCTCCAAGGACAAAGTTCTTTGTCTCCACAAACTCCTAAGTGCACCACTCACCCTTTTCCCTCATCAATTCTATGATTCACCTCATCTTTCATAGACCCATCTGCTGACATGTCCACTCCCAAATATCTGAATACATTCACCTCCTCCATACTCTCTCCCTCCAATCTGATATCCAATCTTTCATCACCTAATATTTTTGTTATCCTCATAACCTTACTCTTTCCTGTATTCACTTTTAATTTTCTTCTTTTGCACACCCTACCAAATTCATCCACCAATCTCTGCAACTTCTCTTCAGAATCTCCCAAGAGCACAGTGTCATCAGCAAAGAGCTAGTGTGACAACTCCCACTTTATGTGTGATTCTTTATCTTTTAACTCCACGCCTCTTGTCAAGACCCTTGCATTTACTTCTCTTACAACCCCATCTATAAATATATTAAACAACCACGGTGACATCACACATCCTTGTCTTAGGCCTACTTTTACTGGGAAATAATTTCCCTCTTTCCTATGTACTCTAACTTGAGCCTCACTATCCTCGTAAAAACTCTTCACTGCTTTCAGTAACCTACCTCCTACACCATACACCTGCAACATCTGCCACATGCCCCCTATCCCCCTGTCATACGCCTTTTCCAAATCCATAAATGCCACAAAGACCTCTTTAGCCTTATCTAAATACTGTTCACTTATATGTTTCACTGTAAACACCTGGTCCACACACCCCCTACCTTTCCTAAAGCCTCCTTGTTCATCTGCTATCCTATTCTCCGTCTTACTTTTAATTCTTTCAATAATAACTCTACCATACACTTTACCAGGTATACTCAACAGACTTATCCCCCTATAATTTTTGCACTCTCTTTTGTCCCCTTTGCCTTTATACAAAGGAACTATGCACGCTCTCTGCCAATCCCTAGGTACCTTACCCTCTTCCATACATTTATTAAATAATTGCACCAACCACTCCAAAACTATATCCCCACCAGCTTTTAACATTTCTATCTTTATCCCATCAATCCCGGCTGCCTTACCCCTTTTCATTTTACCTACTGCCTCACGAACTTCCCCCACACTCACAACTGGCTCTTCCTCACTCCTACAAGATGTTATTCCTCCTTGCCCTATACACGAAATCACAGCTTCCCTATCTTCATCAACATTTAACAATTCCCCAAAATATTCCCTCCATCTTCCCAATACCTCTAACTCTCCATTTAATAACTCTCCTCTCCTATTTTTAACTGACAAAAACCATTTGTTCTCTAGGCTTCCTCAACTTGTTAATCTCACTCCAAAACTTTTTCTCATTTTCAACAAAATTTGTTGATAACATCTCACCCACTCTCTCATTTGCTCTCTTTTTACATTGCTTCACCACTCTCTTAACCTCTCTCTTTTTCTCCATATACTCTTCCCTCCTTGCATCACTTCTACTTTGTAAAAACTTCTCATATGCTAACTTTTTCTCCCTTACTACTCTCTTTACATCATCATTCCACCAATCGCTCCTCTTCCCTCCCGCACCCACTTTCCTGTAACCACAAACTTCTGCTGAACACTCTAACACTACATTTTTAAACCTGCCCCATACCTCTTCGACCCCATTGCCTATGCTCTCATTAGCCCATCTATCCTCCAATAGCTGTTTATATCTTTCCCTAACTGCCTCCTCTTTTAGTTTATAAACCTTCACCTCTCTCTTCCCTGATGCTTCTATTCTCCTTGTATCCCATCTACCTTTTACTCTCAGTGTAGCTACAACTAGAAAGTGATCTGATATATCTGTGGCCCCTCTATAAACATGTACATCCTGAAGTCTACTCAACAGTCTTTTATCTATCAATACATAATCCAACAAACTACTGTCATTTCGCCCTACATCATATCTTGTATACTTATTTATCCTCTTTTTCTTAAAATATGTATTACCTATAACTAAACCCCTTTCTATACAAAGTTCAACCAAAGGGCTCCCATTATCATTTACACCTGGCACCCCATACTTACCTACCACACCCTCTCTAAAAGTTTCTCCTACTTTAGCATTCAGGTCCCCTACCACAATTACTCTCTCACTTGGTTCAAAGGCTCCTATACATTCACTTAACATCTCCCAAAATCTCTCTCTCTCCTCTGCATTCCTCTCTTCTCCAGGTGCATACATGCTTATTATGACCCACTTCTCACATCCAACCTTTACTTTAATCCACATAATTCTTGCATTTACACATTCATATTCTCTTTTCTCCTTCCATAACTGATCATTCAACATTACTGCTACCCCTTCCTTTGCTCTAACTCTCTCAGATACTCCAGATTTAATCCCATTTATTTCCCCCCACTGAAACTCCCCTACCCCCTTCAGCTTTGTTTCGCTTAGGGCCAGGACATCCAACTTCTTTTCATTCATAACATCAGCAATCATCTGTTTCTTGTCATCTGCACTACATCCACGCACATTCAAGCATCCCAGTTTTATAAAGTTTTTCTTCTTCTCTTTTTTAGTAAATGTCTACAGGAGAAGGGGTTACTAGCCCATTGCTCCCGGCATTTTAGTCGCCTCATACGACACGCATGGCCTACGGAGGAAAGATTCTTTTCCACTTCCCCATGGACAATAGAAGAAATAAAGAGGAACAAGAGCTATGTAGAAAAAGGAGAAAAACCTAGATGTATGTATATATATATGCATGTGCATGTCTGTGAAGTGTGACCAAAGTGTAAGTTGGAGTAGCAAGACATCCCTGTTATCTAGCGTGTTTATGAGACAGAAAAAGACACCAGCAATCCTACCATCATGCAAAACAGTTACAGGTTTCTGTTTCACAGTCATCTGGCAGGACGGTAGTACTTCCCTGGGTGGTTGCTGTCTACCAACCTATCATATTCCACCAGTAGCTGGCTCGTTATTTTCAGTTTTAGGCAAATATTGAATTATGTGCACTTGAGATAAATAAATGGCACCAATGCATAATATTATAATATTTACTCAACATTCCAAGTTTCATAAAACCAGACCATGATTGAGTTAGGTATTAAAGAGGTGATGTCACTAAATTTAAATACAGTAAAACAGATCTAGAAACAAGGAAAAATAATTGTAACTACAGTACTACTCTCATGCTATCTATTACATGCTGAATATTCTGATCTGAATTAACATAATATTGCTATGTATGGAGTGTATTATGTAAAACTATTAATGAAGTACAGCCAAGTTTGCTTTGGTTAATGAGAATAAGAAAAATTACACTACCAAAACAAGATGTGCATAAAAACTCACTTGTTTATATCATCATAGCAAGATTCACAAACACGAACCTCCCGTTCAATACCAAACTTGGGAATTGTTGAATATTTGCTGGAGCAATCCCCACAAAACACTTGACCACAGGCACGACAATGATGCTGGAATACACAGAATAAAGATTTATTTCTACTTCTTATGTATTACCCTCCACATGACTGGAACATAACTTACAGAGTATTCTCCATTAAGTCCCTGCAGCCTCCTTACCTTTCGTCTTATCATGGTGAACTGTGAGCGACAGCGATGGCAGCACTCTCCATCAGCCCAGTCTGGTGCACGGTCAGCCGTGAACATAGCATCACTCTCACTAACAGTAGGCATGTGGAAGCCCTCAGCCCTCAGGATGTTAACTGTGTCCTGTGAAAATAATAAGTATAGTTATTGTTTGCTAGTGCTGCTGATCACTATCACTAGCCTATTTCCCACCCTGAATAGGTGGGGAGGCACTAAACTGAAAAGGGTAGACACAATGCTGCTAGAAAGGAAGGTTAAAGATGTTGATCAAGACCAAGCTTTCATAATACCTTCCACACTCAGTGGCATTACAATAAATTGGAACACCATACACTACACAGTGCACATTACAAGTCAGGGTAGTAATTACAAGAGGAAGTGCTACAGCACTGTAAATTATAAAAAAATTTATACAACTGATGAAAAATTGAAGATGGAACACCATGAGCATAGTTGTTTCCATAGTTTGGAAAAATTAGAAAAATTTCAGAAACAGGACCAAAAAAAATTCGCCATAGATTTCAGATTTTGTCTGTAGTGATAGTGTCTGGTAGTCCTCTGAATCAATGGATTAAGTTTGATGATTTCAATGTTTGTCTGGTACAGGCCAGTGTTCATGACAGGGACCTGTCTTGGTTTCATTGCTCACATTAGCCACAAACCACCTGTCAGTTTATTGTCTGTGCCCACTCACACATACACTTGTCATTCAGTCTCCAATTTTCCCTAGATTTAAAGTGTTTTATGTGACTTTATTAACAAGTAAAAGAGGAAATTGGTGAATCTCAGTGTTTTGCAGAAAGCTGAACTAATGAGGAAGGATGAATCCAGAATCTCAGTGGCAAGGGTATGTGATGAACATAGTATTAAGAAACAAACTGTTTGATATCTGTAAAAACAAGAAGAAACATAAGTTTAGTGTAGATGCTACTGGAGCTTCACAGTTTCTCTGACTTAGAGTAAAAATTATTCTGAGTTGTCACTAGTGATCACAGCATTTTACACATCTCACTACAACAAGAGGTAAGTAAAAATTACTGCAAACTACTGAAACATTACTATACTGTCCTCTATTATACATGTACAGTAGTACTGATCCAGAACCTATAAGTATTAGGGTAAGTCTGCCCAAAGTGCCTCTGCACGATAGTGGCTTTCTTTGCTCCAATCACACTATGATATGTAAACACACATTGTAACCTTAGCAAAGAAATAAATATTTTTTATTTAACCTTGTCTATTTATATTATGATCATGAAAAATATGTTTCATAATTCGGAATCTACAGACAATTGACAATAACATACACCCATTCCCCCAAAATTAATCCTTTAATTCAGGGGTTCACTGTGTTTGGTATTACCAGTGGATCACATGAATTTTATCCATTGCTACTGAGTATACAAATACAGCATACTGTATACAATTCAAAATTAGACCCAACCAGAATTTAAAGAGGTAATATTCAAGTTCATTATGCAGAAATTGTGGGATAGCAAAGAAAGCTAAAGTTTTGTGGCATTAGTTTATAAAATGGAAGGAAAAATATTTTTGCTATGATTTTGACATGTATAGAGAGTAATAGATAACATAATTGCAAAGGATGCTCAGAAGTACAGAAAAATCCTACTGTGTCAGGAAGGCAATCAACATCTTGGCAAGGCCATGCAGTAGTAGTAAAACCATTCTGACAGTTATGGAGAATACAAGGTGAAGAACAGGCAAGAGCAGCAAATTTAGATATGGCAGACTGACAGCTTTTCTGTTGTAGCTATATTTTTCGATGGATTTCCTTCAGAGATTTTCATTTCAGAAATATTTACAAAACAGAAATGTACCTAAAATATAAAACACAATATAAATCATACTTACAGTACATGCAAAACCAGGTACAGTATAAAGAATAAAAAGGTCACAATACTGTGACTGGAAGAGTATATTTGTGAGAGGTGAGTGAATTACTACGTCTTCAGCACAACTGCTCCTGAGAAGCCTATGAAGCAAGACTAACATTAAGCCTCACCAAACCTAGTTGCCACATGGTAAATACTAAACATTTTAAAAATGTTACAATCAGAAATAATATTCCCAAGCTTATGTGCTACTGAATGAATGTTTATAAAAAACTTTGTTTTGGACAGAAATAGCTTTGAATTCTACAAAAGCATCATTAATTTTTTTTTTATTATAGTGATGAAGTCACTTGAAAACAGTCACTGGAATGTTAGCCATTCCAGTTGCTCTGTACCAGACACATACTAGTATGTCCTTTAGCAAAAAGCACTTGCACATTTTACACAAAAACTGTACAGTATATTTATATTAATGCTGCAGCTTGACTTCAGCAGACCTCATTAATAATATAAGGCATCTTTTTCTATAGTAACTAAGTCTAATATAACAATCATACTGTACACCCATTTTAATTGCTTACACCAGGCCAGGTGGCCTGGTGGCTAAAGCTCCCGCTTCACACACGGAGGGCCCGGGTTCGATTCCCGGCGGGTGGAAACATTTCGACACGTTTCCTTACACCTGTTGTCCTGTTCACCTAGCAGCAAATAGGTACCTGGGTGTTAGTCGACTGGTGTGGGTCGCATCCTGGGGGACAAGATTAAGGACCCCAATGGAAATAAGTTAGACAGTCCTCCATGACGCACTGACTTTCTTGGGTTATCCTGGGTGGCTAACCCTCCGGGGTTAAAAAATCCGAACGAAATCTTATCTTATCTTATCTTGCCTTTGTGGCACTGAAACCTTAGCACCAAGCTTACTCCTCTCATATTCTAAGACTTACTGTCTAAAATTCAAAGATTCCTAACCTTTCTGAAAAAGTGGGTTTTATTAATAGTTAAAACAATACATTCCTATGTTTCAAATACTAAAACATCCTGAAACACATCTAATATAAGAAACTAGTAGTGTTATACATTAAAAAAATAATCATAGTTTAATATCAATAAATTGTAACACAAATAACCCTAGGCACATTTATGTTACTGTTGGTGATGAATGATCTTGAAAACTATAAAAAAAATTCATAATTTCACCACACAAAATGAAAAATTAAAAATGCAAGACCTAGTTAGCTAATGGGTTAACCATTCCCTTTGGTTGCACGTGGTCTGTGGCTGGGTAACCCAAGTTTCTAAATTACAAATCTGTACTGTTGTTCATCTAGCACTTTACATTTACCTATCCATGGCTACAGTGTTTGTAGAGTAATTTGAAGTACAAACTATATTCTTCACTCAACCCTACAACTATAATATCTCATCACGTTTTCTTACCTGCACAGCACGGTATTTGGTCCATTTCGGAAGGCATACACCCAAGTGGACTCAAGTCAGCAACAGGATCTTCTTGCGCACCTCATCATTATGTTAGCGATACGCAGTAACCTCATGAATTTGTTCCATAATGCACGTGAAGCTACTGTTTCGTGAACTGACTGGCCACAATTTTAAAACGATTGATTCGAAACCTGAAGAGCCAACAGCACAACATTTGGGTTGGTGTCCTTGAGCCGGGTGACAAGCGACTGAACAGCAGCCTTGGGGCTGAAGTGAAAAACTCAAATTAAACTTATCACATATGTATATGTAATAAATTCAAAATTCAATATTATGAAACACATATAGATAATCAGTATCTTCCTTAATAATTCTGAAAATTTTAAACAATATAAGCTTCAGAAGACTTTTCATTAGTAACCTTACAAATAAAACTTCTTTCAAACATGTTTATGTGCCATAAATGTACAGTACATCTTAATTTTACAACAATAACTGTTAAAAAATTACATTTCTTAAAATACTTAAATAACCTCAAAAAATTTTAAATTATTAAATATCTTTAATCAAATACGTACTGTGCAATCACATACAGAATTTGCACAATTTATACTATGCACAAAGGTGAAAAAAAAAAAAAAAAGCATACACAATAAAAAAGCTGATTTGTTAAAGAATCTATAGCTGTCTGCTGCACAGATCCTTATCTAAACAACATTCATTATAATTCATGATAAAAATATATAAAATTATAAGAATGGAATAGTTGAGAGAGAAAGTAGTGAGAGAAAGGGAGGCTGTGGTGCATGTGTGTGTGCATACTCACCTAGTTGTACTCACCTAATTGAGGTTGCAAGGGTCGAGTCCAAGCTCCTGACCCCGCCTCTTCACTGGTCGCTACTAGGTCACTCTCCCTGAACCATGAGCTTTATCATACCTCTGCTTAAAGCTATGTATGGATTCTGCCTCCACTACATCCGCTGAAAAGGGGAGGGGAGGGGAGGGGGGGGGGGGATTGGGGGTTCCACTTCATGACTACTCTGTGGCTGAAGAAATACTTCCTAACATCCCTGTGATTCATCTGTGTGTGTGTGTGTGTGTGCATGTGCATGAGTAAGTGTGTGTGCATGCACACCTGCCTGCCTGTGCATGCATGTGCATGTACACATGTGGCAACTCCCAGCACACAGATTTACAAAGAAATACCTAGTGTATCATCTGAATGCAAAGAAGTTTGGAATGACTGATGAACCGATCTTCGTCATGACTCTGACAGAGTAAGAACGGACTTAAGACACAGAAAATACCGAATAATAGATATAAAAAAGAAAAAAAGCCTGACAGGAAAGTTCTAGATTACTGAGGTATGTATATTGTCCATTAATATATAAGAGACAAAAATTAACTACAATTTAAATGGAGTTTGGGATCACTTTTATACTACAAGACAGCCACAAAAAAACACTAGTCACACAAGTTAGGTTCCTTCAAAGCATTCATAAATCAAGTACTAGTGCTAATTTTGCCAGATACTATTGTTTTAGAAGTTGTGTCCAAACCATTCTAATTTGGTGAAGGTTGCAGTAAATGAAACTTACAAAATTATCATTATCACAAATTAAAAGACTGCAAATTACAATCTCTAATCTAATTCCCAACCAATTAGGAAATAAGTAAATAAGGCTTACTCACTTAACATCTCCTTGGCGAATGAGATCAACAATGTGAAGCGTCGAGTCCCAATCGATGTCCAGCAACAATGGACTAGTTGCCTTCTCTAAAATAAATCATTGCAAGTTTATAAATGCAGCAGCACCCCAAAAAAATAGTGACTGTTCAAGAACTCCACCAATGTGATGTGTCATTTATGTAAAAGACTATGGAACAAAATAGAATGACTTCGAGTATATAAATCTATAGTGGAGGGAAGGCAGAGTAGAGGTCAGCCTAGGAAAGGTTGTAGGGAGGGGGTAAAGGAGGTTTTGTGTGCGAGGGGCTTGAACTTCCAGCAAGCATGCGTGAGTGTGTTAGAGAGGAGCGAATGAAGACAAATGATTTTTAGGACTTAACGTGCTGTTGGAGTGTGAGCAGGGTAATATTTATGAAGGGATTCAGGGAAACTGGCAGGCCAGACTTGAATCCTGGAGAAGGGAAGTACAGTGTCTGCACTCTGAAGGAGGGGTGTTAATGTTGCTGTTTTATAACTGTAGTGTAGTGTGCCTCTGGCAAGACAGTGATGGAGTGAATGATGGTGAAAGTTTTTCTTTTTCATTCCACCCTGCCCTGGTGGGTAAACATGCCAATTTTTAATAAAAAAAATATGCAAAGAGGAATTAAGGAGTGTACTGCTTTAGAGTGCAAACTCCACGAAACAATTCACTCAGCACTTGCCCTCATTCTGAATGTTCATCTTTGAAGCCTTGTTCCCCACTTCAAGGAAGTAGGAATGACAAAAATAAAAAAAAATCAGATAGCATGCTCAACCCACAACTAAAAAAAACACCTGAGATCAACCCTGGGCAAAGCAGGACATATGGGAAAATCTTAACACCTGCTGCCCCTGTTCACCTAGTAAATACTGTAGTTACTTCTGCGAGTCACATTCTGTGGAGGACTTCAGCTTTACTTTTTTTTAGGATACCCAGGGTTAACTCTGCTTTTAATAATACAATACAAATAAAGTCTTCTGTACCTATTATGCTCTCACAAGATTTCACTGGGGGAGAAGCATTAAACCCACAAGGGTCATACAGTGACTAAAGAATGAATGGGAGGCAATCAGGTTTGATCCAAGGAAGAGGAGGGTAACTCCAATATTTTGGATCAAGAACCCTTTACAGAATCAAGGACCTCGTCTTCCCCTCTTCTAAATGGCTAATAAATTAAAACTATAGTAGTGTGTGCATTTCTCAAAACATTATCATTCATGGGGGAGCACTAAACCCATAGAGATCATACAGTGGCAAGGGGAATGAGAGGCATTCAGATTCGATCCACGGGGAAAGCTAATCCAATTCCTTGGATCAAGAGTCCCTTACCTTCATAGAGGAACCTCTCTTAGGGAACATCTTTAAACAGGATACAGATCTGGATCAACAATTATTATTATAACTGATTAATAATAATATTTATTATTATAATAACCAAAACTACGTGCTTAACCCATAAGGGTACAGACAGTAGCTGTATGTAAAAATATAAGTTATAATGTGCATATAGTGTTGACTAATATTAGTCTGTGATGGTTCTGAGTAACCTTGGTAATTACTTAGTTTAGATGCAAGTTTTGATCTTATAGAAGTATGCAATTCTCCTTCATTAAATGGGTTATATAATGGACAGTTATATATTGATTCTATGGAACAGCAACTTTTTTTTTATTAGAGTACACTTGGAGGGGGTTTCGGGGGTCAACGGCCCTGTGGTCCAGTTTGCGGCCGGGATCAAACCTAACCTAATGGATCAAACCAAACTCTACTTAAGCTAATCAAACCGAGAGTAAGCATTAAATTCTTGGGTATGACAGATTAGGTTTAGTGAAGGGGGTTACTTTTCTGGCTCACAAATTTTTATTTTACCCCACTGTCCTAAAATATGCCCGTCTCCACTGGCACAACTTAAGCATTATAAAGAAATTTATGTAAACCCCAAGTCTCTAAACCAAACATTTCCCCTCAGGGCTCTTGATCTAAGTATTAATTCCATAAGTGAAGCAAGGGTTAATGAGAAGCAGATTATTATTATTATTATTATATTATTATTATATTATATTATTTATTATATTATTATATTATTATATTATATTATATTATTATTATATTTTTATATATTATTATTATATTATTATATTATATTATTATTAAATATTATATAATATTATTATTATGATAATATTGTAATTAAATTATATTATATTATAATATATTATTAATATATTATATTATTATTAAGATTATATTATTATTATATTTATATTATTATATTATAAGATTAACATTATATTATAATATTATTAAATATATTTTTTTATATTATATTATTATTATAATTAATATTATTTATTATATATAATATTATATTAAATATTAATTATTATTATTATAGTCAAGAGTGCGAATCCCGCAGAGGTCGTAAGATCCTGGACACATGGTTCCAATGATACGGACAAGTCAATAATTCTTGGATCAAAAGACACTTATTGTGGGACATCAGTATAATTTGAATGAACATGACTACAGATTATTGGAAACTATACAGTATTAGGTTTTCTTTTAATGTTTTTAATTTTATACGAGCAATACGAAGAAACGCCGAAGAAAATGCAAGAACCCCAATGTAAATTTACAAGGACCCCGATAGAAATATATCCATTTTGTTCTGACTGTTTTTGTATATAACCTAGATAACGTACACATATTTGCTACGTATAACAATTTATTATTTAACAGTATTTTGTGTATATTATACAGAATAAAGTTACAAGGTCTTGAAGGATCAAACCCAGAACTCTGCCCCCATCCTTACCCTCACATTACTGTATAACAGCGTTACAACAACCTTTTTTTTAAATAAATGCTGTACAAGGTCCACAAATAAGCCTTAACTCACAGAGTAGAGTTAATATATCAGAGGACATGTTGGCAAGGGTGAGGATGTACACATTAAAGTACATTAACACACTGTTAATGACACATCACTAAGCATAACTCCATCCTATGTGTCAAGCAAGGCAGCTGATCCGGAGTGTTTCTCATCTAACTTTTGTCTTTATTTCACAAGATTTTTGCTTTGTAAGTCATCTCACTATCTGGCGAAAGAATACATTGTTTGTTAATTGCTGCTACGTTGGTTTTTTCAAGGGGTTATTTTTGAAGGTTGGTTAATGCATGTCGAATTTAAAATTTACGTAATGTTGAGAAGCTCATACTGGCAGGTGGACTGTCCGAGTGTGTTCTGTGTTCTGTGTCAGTCACATCTCTGCTGACAGGTCTGGCATGAATTTTGACTGATCTTTCTTTTTGTCTCTCAACCTTTTTTTTTT